AATTTATATTTTTGATACATTTATATAAAAAAGATTATATATTATATATTATTGGACGTAGCAATCGTTGCTTAAGATAACGAAGCATACAACTTGTTGTCTATGAGACGTTATAGAATGAGCTGCATCCGGCTTTGCACAGACGAAACTCTTGTTATACCGCAAGCGGTCTGGTATAAGGCTTATTTCCAGGTCTTCTGTTGAGATCTTGCGACACGAAGAGGGCACTTTGCTCCCTTACGCCCTGCACTCTGAACACATTGGTGCCTTTTCCTGCTGTCTACGAATAGACTTAATTTCACTTTTTGAGAATGTTATGTCTATCCTGATTCTTATCTTTTAGATTCTATAGGCCCTATCTTCTTTCTTCTCTTTCGGGCATCATGAGCGTCAAGCGCCGCCCAGTAATGTAACCGGTTATCGGTTAGCTTTTCTGATTTCTTTTTTCTTTTCTTTTTTTTTCGTCTGCATGGTGACCAATCACTCAGGGTATTCTTCATAGAGGTGCAACATGGCTGGTTAAAGAGAACTGGGAAAAGAGAGAAGGGGAGAGGTAATGACTACAGTCTACTAGATATGAGCCCGACAGAGCATTCACTATAGTCAAATCACCCGGAGACTTAACAGCGTGACTAGCGACTTAATAGTCACGAAGTAAGATATGTATAAAATGAAAATTGTTAAGCAAATTATGAAAATTCTTTTAAAAATTACCTAACAATTGATCTGATGAATCAAATATCTAACAGTCAGGTTAGTTGCAAAAACCTTCAGCTCGTGATTAATATTGCTTTTTGTATTTAGTTGTTTTCTTTATACACCACTTATAACACACAGGGTATATCAAGCATATGCTAGCATCGGTAATACCCACAAGCGCTTGAGATACATCCATCGTTCATCATACCGATCAATTTAGTATCATTTTCTTAATCATTTTCTGAATTTAAGCTTGTCTGTCCGTCTGAATATTGGTCTACATAATGTGATTTTCAATCTACTTAGCTGGCAATTATTGAGATATTTGGACGAAATCTAAATCTAGTCTTCGGAATTTGGCAGCAAAAATTCGCTTAATAATAGTACTTTGGCATACTAAATTCGTGTGAAAACGTTGGATCAGGCCGGGGCAATTTTTTGATGAAACCCTTGCCATTAACTGAATCTTTACATGGTAAAAATTCCAATTTTTCCATGCTTCATGATGAAAACCCATTCATAGTAAGTATATAATATAAAAACTAGCCTTTCCGAATTTGGATCACGTAAATCTATTTTTTGGACCCCAACCTGAAAGGGTATAATTTTTAATATCTTATGATGAAAACTGGCCCTTTAGAAAAAAAACATTAACTCTATGCATTTTGGATCACTTAAGTCTATTTTTATGGAGGAGCTCTAATGAAAGCAAATCCTCCTACGGCGACAAAGTAGAGTTTGTGATTCGGTATTGGAAAATAATAAAATCCTTGGGGAAGAAATTAAGTTTGCAAAATTTACATCATTTTGAGGTTTTCGTCCGTATGAGAGTTTTCATGAATATTGTATAATTTTTGGTATATTCTTCAGAAAATGAATGAACGACTGTATTTGGCGAAATGGTGCAGGGTGGGTATCTAATAGTCGGCCACCTCCGACTATAATATTCTCACTTGTCATCTCTTTTCGTCAATCAAATAGGGAAAATTTACAAGTGTTATATATATATATATAAATGAGGCGGAAAAATTATGTGCGCATTCTGTTGCTAACAACTGTAGATGAAAGTGTAGATCTGATATGAACTAAGAAATCATGAAAAGAAAAATAAGGAAAACGAAGAATGAAGAGAACTAAAGAACTAAACTTGAACTTACTTACTGTATTAACATTTATTTTAACTTAATTCCTATTATATTATAAATTTCATTTCATTTTAATTTAGTTATTAAGTTTTAAAGTAAATCGACTTTTCCAAGGACTTTCTTTCAATCAGTTATTATTAAATATTATTCATTTGTTTAATTGGTTTTTCTGCTGTTTTTTTTTTTTGTTGTTGTTGTTGTTATCGTTTTTATTTTATTAATATATCTTTTTAAATAATATTATCAAAGAATAATTCCCTTAAAGTATTTGCTGTGTTGTTATTTCCTAATCCTTTATATTATTTTGTTTTGTTTTATTTGGTGGTTTAGGTTTTTATTATACTTTTTAAAAATTAGTTGTTATTATTATTAATTACATTATTTATTTTAGTTTATTTTTATTTTTTTTTTTCTTTACCAATTTCCAAGAAGTAACTGTTTTTATATTTAACGGCAGGATTTATTTTTTTAAAGTTTTTTTTTTTTTTTTTTGTTATTTTTATATATTTACTCGCAAAGAATAAGAGCATACATTAAATATTATTTTTCACTTATAAAACGGCCAGAGCGGCTTTCAAGTTACTCGACTACAAATTAATTTAGCCCTGTCCGTCTGGCCATTAGTTTACTGTTTGGGCGCAAAGAGTCGCAAATGTTTTGACATTGATAACTGAAAGTGGCATTTTTCTCTTACGGCCTCAGATTCAATTTGAAATGGGCATAACAGGGCCATAATAGTTGAGAAAAAAAAAACATAACAAAATGTTAACTTGCAGGTAATTTTGGTTTTACACTTATTGCAAATGTGGAGTGACGTCATGTAAGCGCTGAAGAAACAAGCGGGCATTATTGATCCCCACAACCATGCCTAAAGTAACTTGTAAGATCGGAATCAGCCAATCATACAAAACAAAGTTTCAAAAGTAATATATGTAGACCATAACCACGCCCACAATAAGCCTTAAAAATTGCCATTTGAAGCGGACATTGGTGCAATGTTTAATACATGAAATATTCTCACCTGGCCCATCTCAACGTTTAATGTACAAGATTGTTGGTCGATTCATCTCAACCGTCAATGCATTAGAGAGTCGATCCATTTCAACGATCAGTATAGATAGAATTTTGATCGGGAAACACATTAATGTTGGTTTTACATGGTAGCTCTCAAAGATTCGTCCTCAAGGGAATCTAATGAACCTTCTTAACTATTTCAGTTATTAACTTGTTCTCTCCAAGTTAATCAAAAAACAAGTAAAATCTCCATAGTGGGCCGCAGCTCACTATTAAATACCCTACACCACCTTACATTTATCCTTATAGCCACTTTTCACTATTTTCGGTAGCATTCGTCCTTGGGCCAAATTTCATCCTATAGTTTGGGCACAAGAAATAAGGGAGAGAGACGGACAGACAAGCTTGAATCGATTTAAAATGTAATTCTAAAAAGGATTCTGAATCGATTGGTATAATATAATAGAATATGGATGTGACTCTACTCTTTCCAAATTTTGTATACTTATATCATCAAAATATTTAAAAAATTACAACTGGCAGGGAAGAAAAAAAAGGCGAACAGACGGACAGACAAGCAGAAGTCGATTCGAAAAGTGATTCGCTATACCGGAAGGCTGGTCTATCTTCTTATTGGTGTATCCTTGTGTGTGTGGGTTAAAAAAAAAGGATTTTTTTTTTTAAGAACATTTTCTATCCTTACTTTTAGCTAAAAAAAAAAAAAAAAAAGAATTTTTTCTATTATTTGTTTGAGCTCATGTTTTTTTCTTAGTGGGTTTCTCACCAAGGTTGACTTTTTTTACTCTTTTCATATTAAATTTTTTATAATAACAATTCTCTTTTTTGTTTTTTGTTTGTTTTTTTTTTTTTTTGTTTTTGTTAATTATCTCTTCAGTATTTTGGTGTTTTGCTTATTTAATTTTTTTATCTGTTTTGTTGTTATTTAAAGATCTATAAGCGATATAGTATTACGATTATTACGTATCTCATAATCGTTGGCCGGTCATCAAAGTTCATTGTCAAACATTTGAAGTGATCTAGTCACCAGATCATCCTTTAGACATGCTTCTAGAAATTCCTCAATAGTTATGATACCGTCTTGATTTAAATCCAATTTACGAAATACCCGATCAACCTAAGTATATTAATAAGAAATAATGATTCAATTCAAATGACATTCTTTACGATATAGAATCGAAATTTACTTGATCTCTGGCTTTGCGATCATCTTCGGGTTGATGTGGTCTTCGTCCCATTAATTCATGTATCGCCATTACAATTTCACTTAATTCTGAACGACTTATGCGTCCATCACCATTTAAATCGTAGAGTTTAAAAGTCCATCGCAAACGTTCATAAACTGACCCTCTTAGCAAAGTTGATAACGTTACCAATAAATCCTAGAGTAAGTTAAACGAAAAAAGACAAAAGGAGAAACCTTTTCTTTACCTTCTATAATAAAGAAGAAAAAATATTTGCATCAATTTTTACCCGAAAACTAATGGCTCCATTGCAGTTAACATCAAAAGCTTTGAACACATAATGAGCATATAAACTGGAGTCTGCACATTGAAGAGATTTATAAAAAAAAAAAAAAAAAGAAGAATAATTCAAAATGAATAAATAAATATAAGCTTATTATAAGCAATGGAAGACGTTATTAAAAACCAAAAATATCGTGTCAATAAAGTGTCGGGAATTGCTCGAACTATTATATCTACCGAAAAGTTCAACATGTCTCAACAAATATGCGCACATTTATTTGGCTCTCTACTTCCATCTCCCCCGCCCCACCCCCTCCTCCTCCTTATACTGCGAACACGTAGCTCAATGACACTTAGAAGAGATAGCTATCACTAAGAGCCTGGAGCTGCCTTAATGGCTTAATTAGGCGATGCTCATAGGCTTATTGGGTAATTTACGACCGATCGCCCTCACCATCCTGACTGGAGCACCAGATATGGAAGTTTAGATATGATCCAAATCCTCCCCTCTGCACCTCTGATTACTTAATGCTCCCGCAATTGGGGTAATCACAACTAATACGGAAGGCTGCGCCCAACAGTCTGAACTCCTTTCTTAGGTTTCCCCCAGAGGTATCGTATTTGCTGTTGTCTATTATAGGTGGATGGCTACCTCGGCCAGCTAGCAAATAATTGGGAGAATAGATTGATGAACGAAAGGATAGGCGATCCAATCAACCGACAGTTGGATGAGTGGTCGACTAAGCGAATAGTTAAGTAGGAAAACTGGGAACGCATTCATAGGGTCATGGGCACACAAGAAAGGGCAGATGAGTGGGACGTTTAGCAATATCGATGGCTTGGCGCACAAATAAGCGAATGGATAGTCGCGAGTGGATAGATCGAATGAATGATCGGGCTATAATTCGCAAATCCGAATTGTCTTTCTGTTTTATGACCAATCACTCAGCCGATGTCTGCTATATAGCGGACATGGTGTTGATCAGCAAGAAGAAGGGAGAGCGTAATAGGGAGTGGCCGCAGACTGTGCTTCTACAGCCAAGCGCTCACTATAGCTACAACCAAACCATCGTAATTAAAGTACCCGAGTATGTCGACTCGACAATCGCCCTGCTTAATACCTTGGCTTTATGGCAGCGCAAGTTGCATATCGGAAATATGAATAGATGGACTAATGATTGAACTAATAAATGGATGGTAAGTTAGGCAGAAAACTAAATCGCCATCAACTTGCACGTCGATCAGAAAACTTAGAAGAATCCTTTTACAAGAGAATCCTTTTATCTAAGAATAATGAACTTTTCAAAAACTAACAAATACTTACTGCCATGAGGGAAAAATTTCGCATAAATATCCTTGAAACTGTCTTCATGCACTACACCCTCTGGACATTCCTAAAAACAAAAGAAGAGAAAAAAGTAAATAAAAATGCAATCACTTAGCCGTGAAATCAAAAGTATTTCTAGATTATGTTTAATAATAGTACTGCCGGGAGAGTTCACGCGATAATTTAATGAAATGACTTCACTTTATCCGAGCATTCTACAGCAAGTTACGATTTCATATTCACATATCTGTTATTGTAAACTTCTTCTACCTCTGCAATTTAGTATATTAAAATTCAGAAAAAGCGATTCACAGTGCTGAGCAAAAAGAAAAATTGCAGTTTATACCGAACACTTTTCAATCGAATACTCAAATATACTTTTGAAAACCAGGTTCCACATGCCCCTGGGCAGACTGCCTCCTTCAGTATGAAGCATAAAAGGCAAAAGAGCTTTCGCACGTTTCTATGAACTTCAATTTTATCTACCCTATTCTGAGTCCTTATGCCTCTCGGGGCAAGTTTATTCCATTAAGCCGGACAATAAGTTTCGCTGTACAGATATGGATCGCAGCAAAAGCTTCAAGAACAGCACTTGCTATTGCTACGAGAAGGTTATCGGTTCAAAACGATCCGGAACCTTAAGGACCCCTAGACGATCTTATGACTATAGCATGTGATTATCAAACTATCCTCTGTTGAGGCGAAGCAATGGGCCAGCCAGGCATAGGCTTACGGTTCTCAAGTTATCAAGTTAGCTGGTATGTGATTTTTAATTTCGGATTGAATGTTTTTGTCATCGATGGAACGAATGATGAATTGATGGTACTCAGAAGCGAGTCAATTTTGCTCGATATCGAATGTAAACTTTCATATCTATATTATCGTATCGGTTTCACATCTCGACACGTCAGTTAGACTTGAGACAAGACTATAACCTGGAAAATGTCAAGGAACCGCTCTTAAAGATGTTGCGTACAAAAGTCGAGAACTATTAAGGCCGGAAACCCTTAGACATGCTTAGCTACGATGGACTTAACTGAGAGGATACGGTAATCTGTTTGTCAATTGTAAAGTATTTGATTGAGAAACTATGGAAGACATTGTCTCTGGAATTTGTTTCATAATTGGCCTGCTAAGACCTCTATGGATCGACGCGAAATACCAATACGAACTTAATCTAAACTAAATAAATGCATTTCGTTTCCTTACCGTTTTAAATCCTCGGTACATTACACGTATTTCCTGTTTTGTGAATTTCGTTTGGCGGCACAAATCTTCCAAAGCAACCGGTATTGGTTTAGGCACTCGTGTTTGTTCCAATTCATAGACCACCTCTTCAATGGGACTTTCCGGTGGTGAGGCCATATTTCTTTATTTTTATTTTATTGCTTATTTACTTATTTTCTTATATATAGAGTACTTCGGTGTTGGTGTTCTATTTGCTCTCTCTCTCTCTCCCTCTCTCGTTTTCTTTTTCTCTCGTTCTTAAGGTGGCTAAGTTAATAAATTTTTGTGTTATTCTGGTTGTTAACCGTTAAACTGCATATTAAATAAGTTTTTTTTGTTTTTGTATTTTTTTTTTCTTTTTCTGTTGCTTTAATGATTTTTCTTAAATTCGTTAAATATTTGCTTTCAGCCTAGTTAGACTGTCTGTATTCGGTGATGATGGCGATAAAACAAATGTTTGCCTTTTTTTTCGTTTTTGTCTTCCGTTTGTTTAGTTAGTTGATTGCGAAAAGTTTATTGTGGTTGTTGCTGCGCCTTTTGTTTTTTTGTTTTTCTTTTTGTTTTTTTTTTTTTGTTTTTTTATTATTAAGGACTGTTAACTATTTCGTTACAATACATCGGTGTACGGTTGCGGAATTTCTAAAAAAAAAAAAAAAGGAAAGAAACAAAATGAAACACAAAATGGGTTATATGAGGCGTATGAGTGTTTATCGATAAATTATAACTTATACTAAACCTTTATGCATACAATACCGCGTTGATCGCTACCGCTTTGTTTGCATGGCGTGCATTCATGGTATTTTTAAATCAAATTGAGACATTATTTTTGGGAAAGGTTGACCTTTAAAATTCCCTACACCGCTTCAACAAATCCAAAAGTCATATCTTGTTACCATATATATATATATGCTTTTCATAGGCCTGTATGTTTATGGAAGATACATCAAAGGGTACCGACAAAAACGAAAGTTCGCGAAGTTATTTCTTTATCCAGAACGTATTGCGTTTAAACTATTCACCTAAAGAGTATCTACCAATAGATTTTATTATCATGTAGAGATTTACTCTTCAAAAGAACCCTCTAAGCACTAACCACTTCAAAAATGGATCTATGTGATCCAAAACGAGGGTTTTTTTCAAGACAATTTTCCATCATAAGATGTTAAATATTAGAATTTGTCGTCAGAGGTTGCAGCAGAATTTTGGATTATAATGCTTAAAACCATATGTAATACGGACCATATTTGATGGACCTCCTTGCCATACAACATAAGCTAAATGCAACCAAGGGCGGGTATGTAAGCGATTTACGGATAGATTCCCCTTCTCTTATACCACTCAATTGAGAATCATTTTCTGAATAGACATAAGTACATTTGTAAAGACAAGAATACATGGACAAAGGGGACAAAGGGAATGATATATAGACGAACCTAAATTAATTCGATAAAATATTCCTGATCGGTTAATATAACAAAAATTATGTTTGCCTCATTCTCTGTGTACCATACATCCAAGTACACTTTCTACATGCCTGTTTGTCCTATGGGATACGAAGAGAAATTGTTGCCTTCTCTTAAACAATGCAGAGAAACTACCAACTATATTGAGGACGCGAGAGGTAAACTGCAAAATAAACGAAAACAAACGCGCATGCGAAGTCGCGTACACGACGTCGTATCGAGCGACAAACAAAAAACGAGAACGAACGCGTTGGCGAAGTAGCGACCAATTGACGAAATAGATGAAAACGAACGAAGAGACGAAGTCGCGTATATCTGATCAATAGGCAAAATAAATGAGGACGAGAGTAGAGGCAAGGTCGCGTATATCTGATCAAACGACAAAATAAAGGAAGGCAGACGCGTAGGCGAAGTCGCGTACATCTGACCAATTGACGCGAAGAAATCGGGTACATCTTATCATTCGACAAAACAAATGCACGGGCGAAGTTAAGCATACCTTATAATCGATCGGGGACAAGCACAAGGGAAAAGTATAAATGTACATATGGCATTCGTGAGCATTGGCGAACAAAAAAGAAATCAATGCCGAACGGCGAGCATCGGCAAGATATTAACGATGACCAGCTAAGCTAAGTTATGTTACACGAACTCAGCTCAAGCATTAATTTTCTCTCGTTCTCTTCTAATGTTAAGAAATCTATTATCTATAGAAAGATCTTGGATACTTTGACCCTAAGTGTTCTGCTTATGCCCTATAACCTCAATCTCTCACATTTTCCTCGAGCAAAGTAAACCTATAAAATTACGCATTGGGCAAAAAGGCTCTCAACTACTATTCTGCTGAACTCGATAAGTCCCTGAAATAACTATGTGCGGTAGATATCAAAGACTCCTTAAGTGTACAAGAATTGCTTACACACTTAAAACCGAGAAACTTAAATGGAAGATATCAACGTTGCTTGCATATTAAGGTTCAGACTGCAAAGAGAGATAGAAGAATATAGCAAAGAAGTTACCAAAGAAATTTCAAAGAAATTTGTGAGTGTGTGTGAGAGAGAGAGAGAGAGAAAGAGAGAGAGAGAGAGAGAGAGAGAGAGAGAGAGAGAGAGAGAGAGTGTGTGTGTGTGTGAGAGAGAGAGAGAGAGAGAGTGTGTGTGTGTGTGTGTGTGTGTGAGAGAGAGAGAGAGAGAGAGAGAGAGAGACTGTCATCGTGAATATATCCTTTAGTTCAGGTTTCTTGAAAATTTTTAATAGATCCTTCTATTTCAAAAGCACACATATTTATGCAAATAAATTGATTTGATTCCCATCGAACTTAGCATTCAATTGGAAAAAGTTCGTTCAGCAAAGCTTCCAACCTTATGACCAAGCCTATCATCTTTATCTCTATTCATCCTTTACCCACTTTGTCATATTAAAGACACCTCAAATTTTCTCAATTGATACTATCCCAGTAATAGATGACGAATTATTATTCCAATCGACTTCGTTCCTTGTTATTTTAACACCGATATATATCTGTCGTTGCATATTATTGAAAACTTAACGAGACCTATAGTTTTTAATATCTTTCTCGTTTTATTGCTCTAATATTAACTTTATGAGAATATTAAATTTCCTTTATTGGCCATAAGCGCAGCACTTTTCGGGATATAATAAAACGTTTAAGTATTAAATACAACCAACAGGGCATACATTCGTTAATAAAATATTTTCTCAAAACGTATTCTTTGCTTAAATGATTTATTCGGAAGCAATGTTGTGTTAAGTGTTCTTCCTGTTAATAAGTTATTTAAACACTACAGGAAGATAATGATAAGCTAAATTAATCAAAACATTGGCAATAGCAAGTATTCTTGCTAATGAAAGCAAGTCGCAGGGATGATTAAGTGTTTGCATGGAGAGTATGGAAGAACGATAGAACAGATCTTCATGAGAGGAAGAAACGATCGACTGATATGTGTATAAGCATTTCTATGTGATAGAGAGATCGTGAGAGCAGGTAAATAGAAGAAGAATCTGCCTTTTGCGTGAATGACGAAAACGGAAAATATATATGGAAGAAAGAACAGGCGAAGTGATGGGTAAACATTTGTATGATACAAGTATAGTGTACGAAAGACTAAGAGGAGACAAAGCCGACAGAGAAGACATACAGAGAAGACAGACATCTGCAGTATGAAACGAAAAGATAAAGAGAGAGAAGATCAGATGCTGAGATGGCAAGCGGAATATTGGATACAATGAGGTACGGAGAACGAAGGTAAGGAAAGGTGGATGAACGGAAACCAAAATGCCGAATGGACGGATAGACTTAACTTGCAACGTACACAAACGGATGCATAGACATTTACATGGACAGAGATAGAATGCGGTAAGAAGAAGAACAGTAGATAAAAAGCATATAGAAGACGAAGCTGCTTGCAGTATCAATGACGGGAATGGCAAACACAAAGCAGAGGACGGAATAGGTAAGTAAGGTATGAAAGACAGACCAACAGAGGCAGGAACGATCTGCAAAGCAAGACCGCGTAACTGAATGGATTCGCAAACGCAAGAATAAGCAGCCGGACGGAGAAAACAAATGACAAGAGATAGCAACAATGATGGAAATAGCAAATGAATGAGAGCACAAAACGACGGGACGACAAGCGATTATAATGTCAAAGGAAAACGAAAGATAAACTAAAGGCACAAAGAAGAATTCTAAGAAAAGCCAACGAACAAAAGATCAGGTGAACCAGTTCCATAAAGGAACAGAGAGATTGACGGACAAACGAAAGAGGCGAATAGTCAAAAAAAAAAATTAATGAATGATAAAACAGTTCCATGCGTTAACACCGAGGATGAGGCGAAAGGAAATACAACTGACCAGAAGATTAGATGACCGGCAGAACAGGAAAAATAGATTGGAGAAAGTTCATATTTATCCTTACTGCATTGGGCCTACTAACTGGCCTGTATGTTAAAAATGTCTGCACCTTTCTTCCTCTCTCAAGCTATCTGTCGTGTAGGCGAACAGATAAGAGCCGCGACTTGCAGGTCGTTCTTCGCGTTTTCAAATCTTAATGTGGTTTGTGTTCAGACGGTAGCGGCCCACTCTTACCAATGCGGCACACACTTATTAAAAAACTAACACCAAAAGACTTGCACCAAAAAATCGAACTCCAAAAAAACGAACACTTTTTTGGTGCAAGATTTTTTGGTATAGGATTTTTTGGTGTAAGTTTTTTTGGTGTATTAAGCTGCGACCGCTCCCTTTTAGGTTCTCTTTCCCCACTCTTTCCCCAATGTTCTCTAACCGTCCCCTAATTAGATGTAAAGGAGATATATATCTCCTTATTAACAACAACAGCAAAATAATATTATTTTATGAAAATTTTTCCACAAGCCCGCGGCTCTCTAGAATGAGTATCACGTAGGTCGTTTTTAACTTAAAAAAAAAAAGAAAAGCAAAACGTTTAAAAAATTCATTAAAATAATTTATTAACGATCGACTTTCATATGCTTGATGCTTGACTGAAAACCACAAATAAATCCGAGCAACAATAAATGTTAAAAAAAAAAAAACAATCATTGAAATTAAAAAACTATATAGAATCGGTCTCAATGAAAACCCGCTACGTTTTACTATTATGCGTAAAAACAATACCGTGTATTTACATAAACATATGCATAAGTGAAACGTCATGAATACGATGAGAAAGAAAAAATTGTTTTTTTTGTTCATTGGGAGAAACAAATAACGGCGGGCTTATGTCATAAACAAGAAGTAAATGGAATGGAGCAAATGAAAAGTAGAGCACTAAGCGCTGTACATTCATATTCACACACAAATGCACACAGATATATACATATGTAATATTGTGAACAAAAAATATGGTGAATTTTTTATTTAACCATAGCCTGTTTACAACGAATCTTATCACGATGAGCAGGACAAGCGCATAGACAGAAAGGAATCCCGTATCTTTTACTGGAAGTCGTGCATAGTTTATCCAAACAAGGTGTATGTGAATATGAAATGTTGTACCTTAGCCATATAAGTGACGTAAAAAAAAGAACGGAAAAAGTAAATTTCCACAGACTATAATATTAAATGGGCGTGGCTGATCGTTTTCATCTTCATACAGTATACAGTATAT